ACGACCGGGTTTGTAGAAAAAACGGGTACCGGGTACTAAATCCTCCATGCTGGGTTCCGACTTGGTACCCGGTTACCGGTACCAGGTGTAGAAGGGTAGGAGGTCCTATCAAATTATGGTCCTACTCCCCATTGATTTATATGGGGACCTAAATACAACTCTTTCCCTCATTATCTTATACGCAATCAGGGCCAGTAAGGGCCGTTGAGAAAGGGGACCATAATCCCTGGGGGACCATCATTTCTTTTACACCGGTTTTCTCGACCGGGTACCGGGTACCAAGTTGGAACCCAGCATGGAGGATTTAGTACCCGATACCCGGTACCCGTTTTTTTCTTCAAACTCTCAACGACCTTTTTGTTATTGTTCTTAAATTTTAAATTTTTGGGATGTTTTGTCCCACTGTTTTTAATTGATAAATTTTTCATATCGTTTCTCTTATATGCTTAAGTACGGATCAATATTTTGCCAATATAACGATTTTATAACCTGCCTTAACCTCATAAAACATTGTTTGTATCTTTAAACAGCTCAAAATATCCATACATCAACCTAAATATTCACCTTTTCTAATTCCATTTAAATGCAGCGAAATACAATGAAATATCGATGATTATTAAACACAGTTTTTACCGTCCCATCTACATCTACATGTACATCTACATCAATAATCCGCAAAAGGCTAATAAGCCCATTTAAAGCAAGCAGATATATAGTTTAACAGTGATATAATTTGAATAGAATACAATTTGAACCTTAACATTTAAAAAACACATGTAGATCTATGGTTTACAACTCATTTTAAAATGTACACTGAGATCATGAAACACTTCTCCACTTAAGGAGGCATCTTCCCAAAGGTCGATGCTCCCGTTCGTAGAAAAGTAGGCCATATCCAATAATCATTTGTACATAACAAAAACAAATTTTAAGAATGTGTCATAGACCTACCTATTGCTGAAATTCAACCGAGCTTAATTGTTAAGCTGCTTGCTGACAGAAGATTTAAAACTGGATAGGCTATCACTGTCACTGGGTAGAGTGTTCAATTTTACTATTGTCCTTGGAAAGTAACTAAACTTGTATGCATCCGTTCTGGCAGCTGGTTGGATGAATTTGAATGGATGGAACTGTTTAGTGTTTGTGTTTATTTGAGGGCTGAAGTATGAGGGTATAGTGATGGCTGCTAACCCCCCTATCACACCAAACTCGTTCTTACCCGTTCTTGCCAGTCCTACGAAAACGTCGTAAAACGGGCTCAATCTGGCTGTGGTCGGGAAATATGTCTGAAATAATTAGCTTCTTCGTTCTTAAACAGTCTTCAATACGTCCATCTCGTTCGCAGTTCGTTCAGGTCGCACAACGTCGGTGTGCAACGCCGTAGAACGCGTCCCTTAGTCTAGAAGGTCATCATGACCTGATAACAGAACGGTATGGTCGCAATCGAATTTTGAATCGATTCAAATTCTAAAATCCCATTCCCGTCTGAGAACGTTCATAAAGTTCGTAAACAGATCTTAGAAAGTTGCAGCTACGTTCATTCCGTTCGCACACAGTTTAAAACCAGTTTTGAAGAACGCAGTGGCAACTTGTTTGGTGTGATAGCTATATTTTTGCTAACTCGTTCATAAGCAGTGTTAAATACGTTCTTAATCAGTTTAAACCCGTTTGCAATGAGTTCTACCTCGTTCTCAACACGTCCTCAGACAGTTCAACTCGTTGTTAAAACGTCCCTAGTAGGATTGAAGTACGACGGTTCCGTTCGTAGTACGTCCAGCTCGTCGTTAGTACGTTGTCACTCGTTCTAATTGTAGAACGTGACGACCACGAGAACATTTTGAGCATTGTCTAAGTTCTATAGGACCTACCCGTTCGAGTACGTTCGATGGAGTTTGTAAATAGATCCCAAACGGTTCTTAGTACGTCCAGTCCGTTCGTACACAGTTGAAGCCCGTTTTCGAGAACGTAGTGAGAACTAGTTTGGTGTGATAGTAGGGTTACCCTACTATCACACCAGACTAGTTCTCACTACGATCTCGAAAACGGGCTTCAACTGTGTACGAACGGACTGGACCTTCTAAGAACCGTTTGGGATCTATTTACAAATGTTATCGAATGTTCTCGAACGGGTAGGTCCTCTAGAACTTAGACAATGCTCAAAACGTTCTCTTGGTCGTCACGTTCTACAATTAGAACGAGTGACAACGTACTAACGACGAGCTGGACGTACTACGAACGAAACCGTCGTACTTCAATCCTACTAGGGACGTTTTAACAACGAGTTGAACTGTCTGAGGACGTGTTGAGAGCGAGGTAGAACTAATTGCAAACGGGTTTAAACTGATTAAGAACGTATTCAACACTGCTTTTGAACGAGTTAGCAAAGATATAGCTATCACACCAAACAAGTTGCCACTGCGTTCTTCAAAACTGGTTTTAAACTGTGTGCGAACGGAATGAACGTAGCTGCAACTTTCTAAGGTCTATTTACGAGCTTTATGAACGTTCTTATACGGGAATGTGATTTTAGAATTTTGAATAGATTCAAAATTCGATGGCGATCATACCGTTCTGTAATCAGGTCATGTTGACCTTCCAGACTAAGGGACGCGTTCTACTACGTTGCACACCGACGTGGTGCAACCTAAACGAACTGCGAAGAACTAGTTTGGTGTGATAGGGGGGTAAGTTGTGAGTTTCTTTGTAGAAGAGGGAAATTCTATATAAAAGCCTCCCTACGGGATTGTAGTGATTCCCACTGCAGGTGTTGGAGAGCTTGGGTGACACAACCTGGTTCCCTAGAGTGACTCAGTACATAGCATTTTGAGGGACGGAATTTCATTTGGCATGTATTTGCCCAGGAGACCAGTTTGTCAAGGTCGTCCTGGAGTGTCAGTGCATCCTGTTGGTTCTCGAAAGACATGAAGAGGAGGCTGTCATCTGCAAATAGTTTGAGGCTGGTTGTTGTTGATAAGTCGCTGCCCATATCATTGATATAGACAAGAAAGCAGAGCGGTCCGAGCACAGTTCCTTGAGGGACACCCGATTTCACTGGTGTTCTTGTACTAGATTCTCCATCCAGTATTCATAATCATAAATTAGATTAGATTTTCTCTATAACTTTGCCAACATTTAATGATTGCGTAGCCAGGATTTGGTGACCATGGGCTCATTTTTTATATTATCCACAAATCCCAACCTTCATTGGCCATGGGGTTCCTTATATAAAACCATTTTTGTGGTTTTCTTACATACAATTTACACCCCTTCCAAAAGTGTGTCAACCGTAAACTCCCCCATGGAGTGTTTAAGCCTCCTTATGTTTGAATTATTATTCGTATAATATGTACAGTGAAAAGGAAAAACTGTTAAGTGCTGGAAAAAATAAGTTGACATCATGTCCGATACCTCCATATTGTTTTCAATTGGCAAGATACAATTGATTTGAAAAAGTTAGACAATTTGATTTTCTATGTTAAAATGGTGAATCTTTTACTCAAAAGATATACTGAAATCTGAAGGCAAGATCATGATTTCAATATAACATTTTTTAATGAAATTCAAATCAAGAGTTAACATTGAGCTAAGTTTAAGGGCAAATCTTAACACATGAACATATGCATCTTGTTAAAACGAGCTGCTCTAGGGAGATAGACTTAAGAGTTCACACAAACTTCACATCTTGCTTCTTCAAGCTTATGACCTATCCTCACCTCGTTATAGAACGTAGGGATAAATTCACAGATGTCGCTGTTGAACGTGGAGATAGAGATAACTCCGGAGATACAGAACTAATTAATCTTTCCGCCGAATGGAAAGACGAATAGATGGCATTACAAAAACCAAAAATATAGTCCAATTATTGTAATTACATTAGCATCACCAGTGGTTGGATTTTGGTAAGTACATGGTTGAAAATTTGACCTTTTTGACCTGCCTCCATCTGTCAAAATCAGAATGACATTTTTTTACATTTTCCAAGTACAGGTGACCCCAAAAACGTCACCCTTTAATTTGGGAATAACTATATCTCCGTTATAAAGGACTTTTCATAATTTTTGTGTAGATGGATTATAAATGCTATACCCATTCAAATGCTTTTATTTATGAAATATGAATGTTAAAGACAAAAACAACTTAAAATTGTGATTATTCAATACCTGCTTCAGTTCTATGAAAGCTTTTACCTGGATTTTATTTCAAAGCATTTTTGGCACTCACGTTGACCTCGATTTGACCTTTGGTGAGGGGGTACTTATTTGGTCTTGCGAATAATTGTTATAAAAAAGGGTTCAGTCATTAGGACTAATTGTAACATTGATCACGATTATATATGTTTCTTTAAATCGATTGACCATACAAGTTTCATTAATCTGTAATGCCGTATTGTACGGCACACGGTGGAATCAGACAATTATATAATATGTGTCTAAATTCAAAAAATATTAAATCTCTCTGTGTTAATTGGAAATTGGTAATCTAAATCGTTCGAGAAAAGTAACATTTACATGAGAAAAGTGAGAATAGGTTGTGCCGAGCTTTAAAACATCGGATTTCCATTTTGATTTTATATGATGAAAACCATTCGAAAGGTATTGCCATAAATTGAAGCTTTTACGAGCATAAAATATGTGTTTTGAGATAGAAGATTTGACACAATAATGTTTAATATTTTTGGCGTAGTGTTTAATTTACACCTTCCTACGCCCCTGCAACCCTTGCCTAAGATTGCCAAACGTTTGGAGAGAATTGTACAACTTTATTATGTTTTTATTTACTGGTCATATAAATTGAATTTAATGTTTCTGGTTTTCAACAAATATTTTTTGGGGAAACCCTATCCAGGGGTTCGTCCGAACCCACCGAACCCCTGGTCCCAACGGCTATGTAATCTGCAGTTTAACTTACAGTATTTAGTAGTAGTTTTAAATCGGGAAAACAAAAAATCTGGCAGAATTCGAATTCAGGAAGATATCCAATAGAATAACTAATATAATTACCTTTCCATTTGCGTCAAATGCCAATCCAAACGCGTTTCTGTTTCCACCACCCATCGCATTTTTATGTCCTACCCCCTGCCACACGTAGTTAGGCTTACATGGATGGGGGACATTGTTCCCATTTGGTATTTTATCTTGAAAAAACTTGAACCCGACGGTTACATTTAATATTGAAAATGTGAAAATCAATCCCAACTTGAACTGAAAATTCATTTCGTTCTTTATAAAATGCCAATGAGCTCTTGCTTTCGTGATTGTCAAGTATGGTTAGCGTTTCAGTCAAACGCGAGTTTTATCATTCAATATAATCTACAGGTAGTATTCATAAGTATAGAAATCAATTGGCATCATTCCATTTCCTTAGTATTTCATTCACTATTTCACTCACTGTCCACTCATATAAATACCTTTGCATTTGTGAACCACGTTTATCTGTTGTGCGTTTTCCTGTTAAGTCAAGTGTGAACATGTTCGTGTAGTGTCGATGTCATCTACCTTGTCATAACACGTGGCGTGACTTTGTACAATATGTGGTCAACATTTGTGAAACATACTTAGTTTTGGTGTAGTATGTTGCTGTCAACGAGAAATGTATCTACGTATGTGCACAGACTGTCTCCTTGTATTGTCTCGTGCGTCTATAAACTGTGTCTGAGTTGTATCAGTGTAATATTGGAGTAGTGTAAGATGTCTACCAAAACGTCCAGCCTGTATACTCACGTGGTGAAAGTGATATTAGACTCTCGTTAATTCACGTGCGATGCATTATCTACTATAACGTCTGTCTTCGTACAGCATAAAATCAAGTGACTATTATCACATTCATAGACTCTTATGTGAATATAAACCGACTCGAGTAAGAAGTCTACCAACACGTCCAGCCAGTATCTTCACGTTGTGAACGTGATATTAGACTCTCGATAGTTCACGTGTATTGTATCATCTACCATTATCCATAACGTCCGTCTACGTACAGCATAAGCCCAGTAACCTTCCACGTATCCAGTGTGCACGTTTTGCAGCATCAGCCGTCCAGTTTTATGTGTAGTATTAGTGTGCTTTGTCTATTTTTGTAATTAATGATTTGTGATTATAAATACAATATAGTAATTTGTTGGGGTCAACCCAGTTGTCCGAAACCCAGTTGACCGAAACCCAGTTGTCCGAAACCCAGTTCTCCGAAACCCAGTTCTCCGAGTTCTGGGTTTCGGAAAAATGGGTTTCGGACAACTGGGTTTCGGACAACTGGGTTTCGGACAACTGGGTTTCGGACAACTGGGTTTCGGACAACTGGGTTTCGGACAACTGGGGTGCACCCAATTTGTTTAATGCAATCAGACTCTTAAGTTCATTTATTAGTTTTATTGAACCTGCCAACTTGACAGTGATGTTATTCTGGCAGAAAGTTCAAAGCTAATCGTTTTCTTCGGATTACAATGTTTTTTTAACTTTTCAGCATGAATATAGGGTTGGGACCTCAAAACCACGGAATGCCGGAGCGGCACCCTTGGGCAACTCTCTACAAACCATTTCTTCTACCCCCCTAAGGAAATCTACTGGGGGTACTATAAGACACCTTTATATCAGACACTAATAAAGATATAGACTTGAAATTTTCAGGAATTAGTTTAAGTATACTGCTTAATCTGTATGGTGAAAATCAAGAAAAAATTTTAATCCGTTGCTACAGCAACAGTAATAGATCACTATTAGTTACCTTAGAAATGTATTATTTTGTGGGTTTTCAGCATTTTCTTCATATTCTTGATTCTTAAACTATCTTAAACTATCTGAAGCACATAGCATGATTAGAGGTGAAGATAAAATAATTCATTTTATCATTTATGTAATATGTCTAACAATTCAGTTGCTATGGCAACATCACTTGATAATCAGGTTCTTACATTTCACTTTCTTTAATGAGTATAAAGGTGGTCCAAAATAACACTTTTATGTATGTTCTCTAGGTAAAGAAGCTCTTTTAGAAGTAAATAGTCACTTGAATTTGTTAAAAATGTATATCTTTGAGTTGTAGAACCCCTCCCAACAGCCCCAAAAATGTGATGATTGGTGAAAACTGGCAAAAAAACTTCATTTTCTAGGTTCAAATTAAAAATGCATTGGGATGCAACACTTATTAGTATTCAAGGAACATCTACTGACTTTGTCTGATATAACAATATTAAGATTTTAATTATTAGATGATGGGAAGTATTTTATTTGAAACATTTTAGAATCCTATCCCATAAAAATGTTGAAAAGAGGTTGTGGTCAATTTTACCATTTCGCAGCATTTAAAGTTAGAAATATATAAAAACCAAGGCATTAAAACATCTTCAAGTGTTAAGTATATAGGACACTATATTTTATATGTTAAACTTGTATTTAGTACAAGTCTGAAATCCAATGCAATCATACAGTGGAGACTAGCAAGGGTTGCATATAATCCAGACATTGGAATCCTTTACAACCCATTCAGCAGAATCATTTACAATTTAGAGCCAGGGTTTTGAAAACTTAGCTAAAATGTTTATTATTGAAAACAACTAAAGATGGCTTTCCATTGTTCAACCAAGCAGCAATAATGCATTAAGTCTGACCAGATTTGCCATTGCTCACAGTTGCAAGTGTGACGTGTGAACAGTTGCCGCCAACATTTGGTTCTCAACATTCGTTGTTTGATCGTCAACTTGCCACTAACTCCAGAAACCACTTACTCAACATACAGGGTGTCAAATAAGTCTGTTCTCCCCCTTAACTTTTTCAATTCAGGAATAATATAGGGTTGGTATATATCATCTTAAAGGGAATTTAATTTGCTGATCACACACCAAATTTCAGAGTGATTGGTTAAATTCCAAATTTTTTAGAGTATTTTTAGTGATGTCCATATTTCACTTTTTTAATAGTCTCTATGTCTCCCCCAGCAGCCCAGATGGCCTCAATTCTACGAGGATATGATCCTGTATAAATCATTCAGAACATTTATTTTTGGCTGTTATCAACTATTTTGTGATGAAAGATGTCCCTGCTTCAAAAGCTCCCCTGAATGTAACACATTTTACTCTGTAACGATGTTGAAAAACATCAAAATCACCCAATGTTGGCATTGTCACTGCGGATCAACTTTTCACTTTTCATTCACTATTACCTGGTAATTTTACTTGTTTTGACGTAATCAAAGGTCAACAACAACCTTACAAGAAGCATTGTAGCAATTTTATTAGGAGGAGTTTATGATTGATTTTTTGAGGGTGATCAGCATTTTCCATAAGCTTCAAAATGATATATGGGAAAGTATGATTTCTTTAAAGATAAAAAAGTTAAGGGGGGAGAACAGACTTATTTGACACCCTGTACAATATACCAAAGATGCCACCTCACACAAGCACACTCACTCACTCAAAGATGCCACCTCACACGAGCATACTCACTCACCCAAAGATGCCACCTTATACGAGCACACTCACTCACCCAAAGATGCCACCTCACACGAGCATACTCACTCACCCAAAGATGCCTCCTCACCCTCACTCGCCCAAAGATGCCACCTCACACGAGCATACTCACTCACCCAAAGATGCCCCCTTACACGAGCACCCTCACTCACCCAAAGATGCCTCCTCACCCTCACTCGCCCAAAGATGCCACCTCACACGAGCACACTCACTCACCCAAAGATGCCACCTTACACAAGCACACTCACTCATCAAAGATGCCACCTTACACGAGCACACTCATTCACCAAAAGATGCCACCTTACACAAGCACACTCACTCATCCAAAGATGCCACCTTACACGAGCACTCTCACACTAGCTAGCTACTTTCCAACACCTGGCTCTGATGCTTCATGGTTTTATAAGGATTCTATGTATATAGTCACATGATGAGAACTAAGAGCTTTTTTTTGCTTGTTGTGAATGACCAAGCTGAACAGCCCGGCTGTAACTGCCTGTAAGGAGTCTTGAAAATTTGAAGACATCATCTTTAGTGATTGACATTAATTTTTTTAGCTAGTTTTCAAGCACCTGGCTCTGACGCCTCATAACTTAACAAGGACTCTACTATTTGTTCAGATGATGAGAACTACCTGTAAGTGTTTTATATAACAGAAACTTTTGCCATGATTTGCACATTGACGGCCAAAATGACTGACCCAACACATCAGGATACAATTGTGCATGATGACCACCAACACCTGACTAATGAGATGATATGCTTATATGTGTTGACTTTATACCAATGTCAAGATTAAGCCAACCTCTCTATTATATGGTTACACTTCATTAGATGTCATTATGATACATGTACTAAATATTAAACTTACATTTAGAATTGTGCGTGTGCAAGATAACAACCATAGTCTGATTGCTTGGATGAGGAAAATTAATGCTTATAATATTTATACATTATGCCAATGTCTAGACTATGCCAACCTCTATTGTAAGATTACATTAGATTTCATTATAATACATGCACTATATCTATATAAAATATACATACAGAATTGTACTCATTCATGATAACCATCAAAGTCTGATTGCTCAGATGAGAAAAACCAAAGGTTGTAATAATTAGGCATTATGCCAATCACTAAACTATGCCAACCTCTCTACTGTATGATAACATTAAATGTCATTATGGTACATATACTAGATATAAAACTTACATACTATTATATACAGCTATACTCATTCATGATAACCATCATAGTCTCATTGCTCAGATGAGAAAAACTAATGGTTGTAATAATTAGACATTATGCCAATGTCTAGACTATGCCAACCTCTCTATGGTATGATAAAATTAGACTTCATTATGATACATGTACTAGATATAAAACTAAAATATAAAAAAGTGCAGTCTCCTATATACTAGATTATGGTAATGAATGAATTACAATGAATATGTTTTAAATGCATTGATCTTTTGTCTAATGAATGCTGCTAAATGATAAAATTGACCACAATCATATTTTAACATTTTATGGGCTAGTGTCCTAAATTATAAATACTTTTGAGTGTCAAATAATTAAAATCTGCATATTGTAAT